TGGATAAGTTAAAAGACACTGGCTGAAACCTCTGCAATGAAATACTCTGTTTAAATTGTGCTGCATTTTGTAAAAAATAAAGCTTTTACAATTACCACCCTAATGCCAAAGGTCCTGAGGCTCCCAAGCAATCACTTTCACTGTCAGAAAGCTGTTGTGAACTGCAAGACAGGGGGAAATCTTTAATTTCTGAAAATTGTCACTGAGAGGATTATTTTAGCAGTGGTAGCCATTTTTGGAAATTAAATATTTCTCCCTTGTCTCCCAAGGTTTGTCCATGATACAATACTTAATTTATTGTTATCCTTATGGTTTAAATGTTGTTGTTTATTTTATTTTATTATTCCTGTATATTGTTAGCCACACAGAGTAGACTTCAGTCTAGATGGGTGGGAAATAAATAAGTAACTAAATAAACAAATAAATAAACAAATAATGAAAGGAATCCCAAGGGAGCCTCGGGACCTTCAAGAAGGGAGTAGGGGAGGTTTGGAAAATTTTAATTTCCAGAAAACCACAGTGACTGATGGTAATTTCTACCACATAATCTAGTCTTATATAATGTAAATTGCACTGCTGAACAGCCATAGTTAGAAGAAAGACACAGTGTGTGTTGGCTCTGTTGTTAGATAAATTTACTCCATTTAGAAGGTAATTTAAGCAGTTAGTGTCATTTAATTTTATTGAACAAAAATTTGTTTACATGAAATTAAATTAAATGAAAGATATCTATATAAGAGAAAAACCTAGAATCTAATGCTTTCCATAATTATTTTAGTTAAAATATCTATATTACATTTTTTCATCCATGTGATACATGAAAGATTACTGTCTTTTTTTCCAATTAAAATGTCTGGAACCATCATAGTTTATGCTGCTTTTGTATATCTATACACTATATGTAAAACAAATGAAGACAGATGGGTCATTTTGCTTTTGTATTTCAGAGAAACAGTAATATTATAGCAAATGGCAATCTGGCTTCAGAGACCATACAGGAAAAAGGTGAGTGTACATTAAAGCTATAAAAATAATACCAGCTAACTGTTCCTTTTAAAAGTTTAATAATACAAATATTCGCTGAGATTTATAATTATTGATTATATCTTGTTTTTTGCCTCTTGTTAATATAAGAAGAATTCAAGGAATGATTCAATTACTAATTTGTTTGTACAATTTATGATCCTGTACCTTAAGAGATATTTTTCTGTGGCATCACAGTAGTATTTTTTAAAATCCATTCTGCTTCTACATCTCTCATTATAGATAGATAGATAGATAGATAGATAGATAGATAGATAGATAGATAGATAGATAGATAGATAGATAGATAGATAGATAGATAGATAGATAGATAGATAGATAGATAGATAGATAGATAGATTTTACAATGAATGTTCATTAAAGAATCTCTGTTATGTATTAAAGGAATTTGCTTTCCTTCTAGAAATTGAACTTTCTGACCCAGAGGAGAATGATTATGACCACCTGGAAACAGGGCGAGCGATGGACTTCCTAGCTAGCATTACCAAACAAAATTTCACAGACACAAGTGGTAAGGGACAGGTTACATGATTTCACCTCTGCGGTCTTTTTGTATTTCAAGAGTACTGTGTTCTGTTGCTGTGTATCCTTTTATTCATACTCATATGCAAACGCACATGCCAAGATGCATCCAAGGAAGCAAAGAAGACAAGAGATCTTTTCCAGAGCTATGCTGGGTTCACAGGAGATGCCTTCCCTGTGTTTCTAAAAAGTGGGGAGTGGCTGCTCTTGTGTGGAAGAAAATAACCATGATTTAGGCCAAATAATACAATCTTTTATTTTACAAACACATGATGCTAAAGAGCAAAACAGCTTGTTTCCACATGCCTGGCTCCAAAGTGAAATCTAGTTAATTTCTTGTCGAAGTGGCTGGATAGTTCAGTGAGTTAGGTATCTGGCATTGGAGCCAGAAGTTGGGAATTCAATTCCCCACTGTGTCTCCCCAGCCTGTGTGGCCTTGGACAAACTGCACATTCCCAGGAGTCCCCCAGAAGAAAGGGAAGGGCAAACTACTTCTGAGTAGTCTTTACTAAGAAAATCCTGAAAAGGGTTGGCATGAGTCAGAATTATTGTTTTTATTATTAATTTATTGTTTATGAAATAAAATCTGAGCCCAAATTCAATCCAATGGCTTAAGGGGAAAAGAAAAGAAAAGAAAAAGACAGCAAAATGCGTCTGGTGAGGAGTTTGTGAAATAGGTTTCACGATGAAATCGTAAAATTGTGGTATTAAGCTAAATTCAACATTAATAAAGGAGATCCATTGAAATCAGTACAACATAGATGTTACTGATATGTCCCATTCATTTCAATGGAACTGCTCTAGTTAAGACTAACTTAGGATTCAGCCCATGACAGTTATAATAAGCAAGCTCCAAAAGGATGTTTTTATATATCCGTTTTCATCTTTTAAAGAGTGGAAAAGAAAAATTACTGATCTAATTTGATTCTTAAGGTAGACAACAAAGAATCTAATGGCCAAAATCCTGTTCTGCAACTAGAGGTTGCATGGGCAATAGATGTACTAGCTCCAAAAGCAAAAGTTCTATCTCCAAAGCACTTCCACTGGTGTATTATGCAATCAGTCATGCTGCAGATTTATGATTGATTGCATAATTTCATAGCACAGTTCCTTGTTGCTGACCTGACATCTGGCACATTTATGCCATCATCGCTTTACATTGCGCCAGCATGAACAGGATATTGGCCAGTGTATGTTTTTATAACATTGTAGATATAAATGTAGTCTGTTCTTAAGATGTATGGATGAGACTCAGAACAAAAAATATTTTTAGTAAATTCCTGTAAAGGTCTAATGTCCTATAGAGACTCAGAGCAGATGTGGGAAGAAGCTGAACATTTCTATTTTTATGGTGAGAGAAACATGAAATTGTTTAGCTGCCAGCTAGTTTGGGCATGTTTTGGTTTGTCACTTCTTGGAGTCTGGGCTTCAGTACCTGTGACTTTTCTGTTTTACTAAATAACTGAATTTGTCATTCACAAACTTTTTATAGGCATTGATAATCCAGTATTTTCAGCTGATGTCGAGCCAAATGCCCCCCTGAGGTTTGCACCTTGGTTATCTTCTGAAGAGATGGTGGTACCATCCCAAAGGGCCCGAGTACAGATACCCTACTCTCCAAACAACTTTCAGCGACTGGCCCCCATCCGACTCAGCAATAGATCTGTAGATTCCTTTTTGCAAATAGATGGCCCGGAAGAACGACCTAGAACTTTCCTCCCAGACTCAACACACATGTAATATTTTGAACATGTCTACTATCCCTATTTTCCAATCAACCAATCTATGATCTCTATACAACTATTTTTTCACTTTTGGGGTTTTCTTGGTGGTGTTCCTCTCTTTTTTTCCTTTTCAACATCTCAGGCAGGAAAATTGAAAGCCAGATCACCAGTTCTATATGCTCTAGAACTCTGAAGGATTAGAATACAAATATAAGGGATCTGTGTGATCAATACAAAATACAAATGCAAAAGCAGATGACGCCTTTATAGACCACTTAAAAAAATCAATTTGCAAGTTTTTGTGAATCAAGACCATCCACTTCATCAGGCATGTATCAGTGTGAAGGACTTAAAAGTCCAAAGCTCATGGCAAGATGGACTTCACCAGACATGTCTTTCTTAGATGTAACTGAAGAAAGATGCAGGCTGCATTAGGGCAGTTGTTTTAAAGTTAGAGCTGAGGCAGCTGTGGATTGGACATCACATGCCAGTTCTTCAAACAAAGAGGCACAGATTAGAATTTAATTTATTATACTATTTTCAGCATATTTACATTGCTTTTCATTCAGTAATTCTAACAATCCCCTAGAAATGCAGTCCAAACTCTTCTTTATCATCCTTCTGTATGGAATTTATATTATGAGGCTAAAGAAAGTGCAGTTTTGGCTATATTTAAAACTGATAGCAAATTATATTTTATACCATTATACTTCTCTACTATTCTTGCCACCCCCTGGCCTTTCTTACTTATGAGTATATGAGAGTCATCTAGCAGCTTAGCATTCTAGCTCTTCATCCTGTGCAAAAGCAAGACGTCGTTTATATGACTACTCCATCATTGCATGGTTCAATAATCACATGGTTGCCTCTCTCAATGAGAGTAACTTATCTTTCTCAGGAAGCTGGATTCTGTGATTTTCTTTCTTTCTTTCTTTCTTTCTTTCTTTCTTTCTTTCTTTCTTTCTTTCTTTCTTTCTTTCTTTCTTTCTTTCTTTCTTATGCATTTCGTTTTTGATGAGATGTTTTGGACTTGATAAATTAGCAGGTTTGGGGCTGATTATGTTTTGCATATTTGTTATGTGATCGACTGGAAGACACATGGAGGTCTTATGAAGTATAGCCTTAAGGCTGTATTTCTGAAGGCATCTCACAATTCCTTTAATGCACTACAGAGTGCTAGAAGGGAAACATTTGGCTTTGCAAAATATTACAAAATATTTTTAGATAATAAATGACTCACTCTGATAATAGATGGACTCATTTTTGATTAACATTCATTTTAAAATAAAATAAGTGAATAATCCACCTGATGCAGGCCTAAAGTCTGCATGCGCTGGATTTCCAGCAGTGACAGAAAGCCTGGATTTCACATACAGTATGCAGAAATTAAATGAAGACTCCTGGGGTGAATGGCAAGGATGGGTATCACTTCTATATCTCCATCTAGCCTTCCTGCTTGATCAAGCTCTGGAACAAGAAACAAGAGAGAAGGCTAGATGGATGGATGGGAGCAGAATCCAAGAGTGGACTAAATTGTACCCCTATGTACGTATAAATGGTTGCATTTTTATTTACACATGGGTAAGATTGCTAAATGGCCACTTGGTGGTGCCAGAGTATCAGAAATCGTAATCTTTTGTATTATGGGCCTCACTGTTTTTACTGTCTGGAATGCATTGCCTTCAAAGGCTGTTTTTCCACAAACTAAAATCCATTGCTCTAATGGAAACTTCAGTGTGGAGAGTTTTCTTTGAAATGACGCAAACTGTAGCTGCTTTTTATTTAAAGACAACTATGCTCTTATTTATGTACTTGATTCATTTATTTGTTCCCAACAGGTGACCCAAATTTAGGTGCTTTGTTATCAGAGTATTCTGATGAAATGCTCCCCTCTTCAGAATATGAACAGACAAAACCTGATGCTTCTCAGACAGAGAACTATCACAACATGAGTCCAGTGTGCCTTCAGGCGTCTTGGCAAGAAGACCACGCACCCTTGGAAGACAGAGACAAATTATTATTCCCTGAGTACTTGACTCCTCCTCATCAAGAACTTCCTGACTTCCACTGGCACACAGTCTCAAATACAAGCAATCAAACACATTTGGGTGCAGGTTTATCTGACTTTGGCTATGACCCAGTGAATTCACGGCTTGACCATTTCATTCCTGAGCCTGGAGGACTCCCAGAATCTATTTCCTGGAACACCCGAGAATCAAAATGGCCACTTAATACACAAGCTCATTACAGATCTGCAACAGCAAGGCGAGTACAAAGTCGCCGTTCATTCCACAGGCCAAAACCTGTGCAACGTCCTCAACTTAAAAAGTTAGCATCTCTTCCGGCATCTTTTCATTTCCCTCCATACCCTTGGGAACAGGAAGAAACACAGCTGTGAGTCCTTTTTGACTTGAATCTCATGAATTGTGTGGAATATGAGACAGCAACTACTTAAATACTGCAACCTTGTATGGAATGCTTTCTGAGAAATACTGAGCTCTCTATTCAGCTGGATACGTCACTATCCATGGCTCACACTGATGGAAGGCCACAGAAGCATCAAGAAAATATAGAGTGTTTCATTTGCTTTTAAAGTTATATTTTTTAAAGTTTGTGATAGGAATATTTTAAAAATAGAAAGTGAAGCTGTTTGTAATATATTTTTTACCTAAGGTCCAGGTCAGGGCTGTAGGCATCCATACTGAAATGTAGTCTTAAAAGGTGTGGCCTCCAGTTCAAGGCATCTCAAGAGCCAATGGCTTCGGCTGGAAGCTGTGAAGAAGCTGTTCATGTATTCTGGTAAAGGAAGAAGCTTTCTTGTATCTCTTTGCAGGATAAACAGCCAGTTGCCACAAAGAGCACCCACAGTTGCTTCCTAGGCTACATCCAGCCTTAGACCCTATGGTTCTAGTTCAAGGTCTGGGACACCTCCCATTTTTACATTTTTTAATTATGCCATATTCCATTGTAAACATTAAGATTTGCAGAGATCTGTTCTGAATGAATCAGATGAGTGCCTTTTTGTACTGACTCTGAAATCTAAAGAAGATTTATTTTCCTACTGTTAAATATTGTAACTGTGAATAGCTAATTGCATTTTGAGATTTTAGTTCTGTGGGTTTCTTTTCACCATGCAATATTGCAAGGAACTAAATAATGCTTAGAAACACATACTTCCTATATATGTCTATTCCAAAGTAAGACTTAATGAATTCAGTGACAAAATCCTGTTGCTTAGCACAGTAAATCGCACCAGAGAAGGCCCATTGAACTAATTGGGCTTCAGTGGGTCTGCTGTTCCCTATGTTCAATTGATTCAACCATGCCTATTCTGTTATTTACTATGCTAAAGTGAGGCACAGAGCAGGCCCACTTGACGATGAAACGTATGGAGGATGTGGCTCACCAAATCCCTGTGTCAACTATGCTTATTCTGTTATTTACTATGCTAAAATGAGGCACAGAGTAGGCCCACTTGACTTGATGAAACATATGGAGGATGTGGCTCACCAAATCCCTGTTGATTCAATGGAACTACTATAGTGCAATTTGCTATGCTATGCTAAGCAACAGGATTTTGGAGACTCTGAAGTAGGTTTTACTGTACTAAGTCTTCCTCCCAAGAGAGTATGCAAATGATTGGGCTGCAATCTAATTTTACTGTAATAAGTCTTCCTCCCAAGAAAGTATGCAAATGATTGGGCTGCAATCTAATGGTCCTGACAGTGGCTAAAGGATTTGCTGGATCATCTCTTCCAAGTGAGAGACAACTTGGGTAGAAAAAAAACAAAATGGTCCCAGGGAAGGAAAGCAGCGTAGAAGCTCCTCTCCTCCCTCTATTCTATCTTGCGGAGCTGTTTCTGGTATAAGTCTTCCTCCCAAGAAAGTATGCAAATGATTGGGCTGCAATCTAATGGTCCTGACAGTGGCTAAAGGATTTGCTGGATCATCTCTTCCAAGTGAGAGACAACTTGGGTAGAAAAAAAACAAAATGGTCCCAGGGAAGGAAAGCAGCGTAGAAGCTCCTCTCCTCCCTCTATTCTATCTTGCGGAGCTGTTTCTGGTACAATATATCTTTTCTGGGGACAGGGGAGGTGCTGACCTTGGCAGAACAGCATATGAGCTGTTTCTGGTATATCTTTTCTGGGGGCAAGGGAGGTGCTGACCTTGGCAGAACAGCATATAGGATTCATCTATCTCCATAGCATTTTAGTGCACAAGATCCCAATTGTCCGGTTTTCAGTTCTTAATTAAATCTAGCTACTTCATATATTCTCATCCCCCCCTCCCTTGCCATGTTCAGATATAAGTGCAAGAGTTTACAGAAAGGACTTGTAGACATTGCTCAGAAATTAGTTGATTTCAGTGGTACTTAATCATAGGTAAATCTATATAGAATTGAAGCCTTATATTTTCTATTAGAATTAGCCAGTATTTTTGACACAATTATTTCCTCAACTGTGCTTGGCAGTTCGTTTAAGTGCCATGATAACTCAGGTCCCTGATGCTTCATAGTACTGTACTTCATAGTTCTGTAAACTGACAGGGTGTGCTCTGTTCATGAGTTTGAATGTGCTCTTGTTTTCTGCTGTAATAAACTGTGATTTAGGGCTGGAGTGTGGAACCCATAGCCTTCCAGATGGTACTAGACTGCAACTCCCATAATTTTTTTTACCATTGGCTAGGATGGCTGAGGATGATGGAAACCGGTATCCAGCATCCAGAGAACTGCAATATGCTAAAAATGGAAATAATTCCACTAGAGTTTCCCAAAAAAAATGCATGCCCATGCTGTATTTTCAAAAACTGCTTTCCACTGTTAAAGTGTCTTCATACATGAGCTGTATTTTCTCATTAAGAGTAATTATTTCCCACTTGCAAGAGGACACACATGTCAACCACATTTTGAAGTAAGTCAGTAGAAGAAGCTTTAATCTACCATTGCTTGTCTTAAGTCAGGAGCACTCCCTTCTCAGTTCATCCTACCTCTGGCTTGAGTTTGTGAAGACATAAGCAAACCATGGTTTAGAGCAGATTGTTTAATTGTATCTAACATTCTAGTCTCTACATCCAGTGGCTTTTAGAGGGGTGGCAAATGTCCTAATAACAATTGTCAGGTCAAATATCGTGTCAGTCACAATTAGCATAAATCACAGTTTGCAGACTCATTTCCAATTATTCTTTCTAACTGTGGTTTTCGGGTAAATCTAATCATATGATGAAAAAAGTGGGAGTTTTGCAGTGCAGAAAACTGTTATGTTCATACCTGCACCAACATGCATTTACTGTATATACGTAAATTTCCTCAATGGATCTGCCTGATAATTTGACCTAGAAATCTTATATCCAGCATTGTTATCCTGTGTAGCAAATATTCATTTATCCTTCCACTTTTATTGTTCCTGGGGGAATACTGATATTTTTTGCGTGTATGCAAACTAATTAAGATTTTAAAACTAATTACCAGACCATTACTGCTTCCACTGCTTCATTCCAAATGCTGGTGGTAAAATCACTCCTCAGTGATTGTTGACTTATTTCCCCTAACAAAAGAGGACACGCTGATGCAGCTCTGCTTTCATGTAATTTCAGTGCGTTCAGTGTGTCTGTAGGATTGCAGTCTAAGAGCTCTGTTCTGCTAAAGGTAACTGCATGCATTCCATTGATTTTAATGGACCAACTTTTGAATGTACAGTACTTGGTTCTCCAAGTTAAATTAGCAGGACCTGAATGCTGTTAGGCTTGTGGCTGTTTCACATCCATGTCTTCAGCTTCTGAACTGTTTACTTCGGAGATGACATTCCTCCTTCTCTTCTGGGTCACTTTTATGAAAGCTGGTAGTCTTCCTCCATTTAATACAATGTCATGCATTGCCATTAAAATTCCACCTGTACCATCTGATCTTTCATGACACATTCATACATGCAAGTTACCACATCATACTCTTGTCACTCAAAATGAAAATGTCTGCATAAACTGATCCATAGACTTCTTATTTAAGTGCTACATGCTGTTTCCCTGGAGTTCAGCTTTCCTTTGGGCAGATACAACTGTCCCACAGATGGTTTGCTTGATCTGTATAAGGAAGAAAGCATAAATGCTGAAGGATTAAGTTCTAGGAAATGAAATATGACATATACCGTACAATTCTTTAACATTTCTTTTTCATGTGCAACATACAATTATGATTTTAGAAAAAAGGGATTGTCAGTGTGAAAGTTTATTTCTCTATATGAAAAAAGTTTTTGGGCAGCTATTAAAGCCAGAATGTCTTGTTTGGTTTGGGGTTTTTTGATCCACAATATTTAATCCAGTAACAAGTTTAAGATTGTAAAAAGTGCACAAGCAAGCAAAACTAAACACATAATGATTGTGCTCTTATAAAGCTGCTTATTTTGGAATATGTCCTGTTGAACTCGGACTTATTTCTGGATAAAAATGTACAGGGTTCTGAGGTTAAAGACCATTTATGTCAGTTGGAAAATGTAAACATGGTCACATGTTAAACTTAATTTAAATTTATGGGACTGAGATGTTTAAGCTTGACTGGCTTTGGGGATATGAACAATACATTTTTATTGATGTGAATGAATTTGTGCTGAAGTGTTAATCACACATACTCTCATGGATAAGGACACATAAAATGGCCAGTCATTGCTTTTATTCGATATGGAACAATAGAAAATAAATTAAATAATGTATTTTCTATACATCTTGCTACATTGCACTCTTAACTTGATAAATAATGTCAAACACGCACACCCAATCTGTATTATAATGTATGTTTTACAAATATAGTCTATGCATGAACAAATCAGAATTTTATGTAGGAAGAGCTGAAATAAATATCATAATGTGCCTTAAAAACTTAATTCCACAAAGAGCTGGTGCTTTTAAATTATTTTGTCTGTGATTTCTAATAAGTCTCAGCTTTCTTTGTGATATAATAAAATAAATATTTTGCTTGAGAAATAAATGTCTTAATATTTAAAATTTTTAAACACCAGATTATGCAGGGATTGTTCAACAATGAAATGTATGACTTTAATGTACAATATGAAAACGTGTATATAAGACAAGGTTGTATATTACAAAAAACATAGAAATACAGCAATAAAAATATTTTATTGGAAACATCGTGTTCTATTTCTTTTTTTTACAGCATTTTGCCTCATTTTGACTTTGAAACCCCTCCCCCC